TCTATTAGAATCTTCCATGGTCGCTTGTTTTAATAAATTTAATTCAGCTCGAAATTCTAACTTGATTCTAACCAAAATCCCTAATTTAAATATTCCTGGAGTAGAGATTATTTTTGGAGGTAGAATAAAGTGACTCTGTCAGAATCCTGCTATTGTTTTTAACCAAGTGGTCTCCAAACAATACAAACTATAATAAAATTAGAAATACAAAATCTAATCATCAGGGCAAGACTTAAATGTAGCATAAAGCATAAATCTGATCTTATTATTCTCCTGCTTAAAAACTTCCAATGGCAATGAAGTTCATACCCCTTAACGGGGCTCTTGAAATTTGTATCTGGCTTCTGCCACTACTTCCTGCCTCACTGCCCATCAGTCCCCTAATTCTGCGACACCCCCTTCTGTACTGCAGCCTTAGAAAAATGCTTGCAAGTCCCCAGATAGGACATTGTCCTCCTCTGAATGTTCTCATTTTTATTTCTCCCCAATACACACAACACACATACACATACAACACACACGCACCATGTACACAACACACATACCCCATACACATACACAAAATATACACAATACACACACATACACATCACATACAGCATACATGTGGTATATACACAATATATAGTATATGCACACACACCACACACAACATACATACGGTATATACACAGTATATACCGCACACATACATGCCACACATAAACACTTTGGCCACCGCTCACTCCCTTGACAAGTTCCTACTCATCCTTCAGGTCTCAGGTTAAATGTCACTTCACTAGAGACCTTCCCTGGCTCACCAGTCTCAACTCTGACCTTCTCCTTTCTTCTTTCTCAGCATTCTCCTCTGGCACACGTATCGCAATTTGTACTTCAACATGGATCTGTGTGCGATTTGGTTACCATCCGTCTTCACCTCTAGACTGCAGGTGTCTCAAAGGGAGACGCCACCTCTTGGTTTTGCTCCCCTTTGTTTTACCAGCACTGAGCACAACACTGGGCACATGGTAGCATCTCAGTAAAGATTTGTTGAATAAGCAAATGAATGAGACCCTAGCCCAGAAGCATGCAACCACCTGCCATTGCCACACCTGGTGTGTCCCACCTGGGGTGAGCAGAGCCCTGAGGGCTTATGGGACTGGGAGCAGAACCTTCAAATTAGGCCGGGGCGTGGGCCAGTCTGACCAGCCTCAGACTCAGCCAGGGCTTCTGGCTTCCTGCCCCATAGACTCCTTGCAAGCACTCTGAAATGGCACTCTCCCGTCCCCATCCTGTCACCAGGGGCTGAGCCCTACTTCCTTTATCCCTCCAGAAAGTGTTTCACCAAGAACTAAAAGGGAGGAAGAGATAAAACAAAACAAAAAATAAATCCTAGCAGCCAGACAGAAGATTTCTCCAAGACGGTTTTGTCTTTATTTCTTGGACTAAAATCAGGAGACACTATTTTCCACACCCCTGTTTCATTCCCCAGTGATGTACAAAGATGATTTCCACTCCTGCAAACTGCCAGCTCCCATTCAGCTGTGACAACTTGCTTTGATAATCAACAGTTTATGTGAATTGATGCATATCCTGACAAATCATATGCCTTAACAAAAACTTCCTTACAAATTGTTTACTGCGACAGATAGTTCAATATATTTAGACAGTAGCTTTTCCTTAAGGATTTTAGTACCCTATAGGATCCCTTACTAAAATTCTGCTACCTACAGTCTCCCAGTGTTTGAATTAGCACGCTTCAGTCATCCCTGGGGCCACATTCTTCAAAATGGTAATACTAGATTGAACTAGGTTTCATGGCTGTCTCTTTAAATATGGATACTTGCAGAAATGCTCTGTAGAATGAAAAATAATTTTAAACATAAAATACTTGGATAAGCATAATTAGGTAGCTTTTATCGTGTTTGTATGTGAATGTTTATTCTATGGGCCAAAGAGCTAGTCAAAATACTACTAAATCTGTGATCCTGTACTTAATGGAAACAAAATAATCATATACCACAAGTATTTTTTCTTTCTTTAATAATAACAACAGCATTTACTCAGTGCTTACTATGTGCCAGGCACTTTTCTAAACCTTATGCATGTGTTAACTCATTTAATCACTCAACAGCCTAAAGAGGAAGACACAATACTTATTTTTCATTGTACAGATAAAGAAAAAATTTAAGTAATTGCTCAAAGTCATACACTGAGAAAAGGGTATAGCCAAGTTTTGAGTCCAGAACCAGTGAGCTTAGCTACTTCTTTGTCTCCCTATCAATGTACAGGCCCAGGTAGATAATCATTTTCCATTTCCAAATCCTCATGTATATTTTATTATATTTAAAATTTTGCTCTGCATCCTATTATTTTATGAAGGATAATGTTAGATTCTTATCCTCCCTGGATTTTAACTATTGCTGGGGGTAGTGATGCAACTGAGTCAGGCAGAACTGGATTAAATCCAGTTCTACCACTGACCTCAGGAAAGTCCTTAATCTTCTGAGCCCATTTGCTATTTTGCAAAGGAAGGATCATTACTGCTGTTGTAAGGAGAAAATGAGATAACCATATATAAATTGTCTGGCACACAGGTGATCAATAATATTCCTGACTCCACGTGTATAAGTAAGGCCATTAGGAAATTACATTAATTCTCATGAAAAAGAAGATTTCACCAATAAATTACTAGTGCAATGTTATAAACCATGTTCTGTTAGTTGAATATAGTTTATATAGTTCCCTAAGAGTCCCACTTGTATCAAGGGATAACAGAATTTATAAGAAAACTGTATTTTTCCAGACAAAATGTGCATGTGCAGCTAGAAAGCATTACATTAAAAAACTAGTGATCAAGTTCACAATGTTATGAGTAAGTACAGCTTAATAGCCATACTGGTAGAAATGTGAACATTTTACTAATCCCCGTTCTGTGAAACCCTGCTTTCCCAAATCCTTCCATTAGGCCCACCTGTATGTTTGTGTACAAGGCTCCTAAGTGCATCTTGTGCACGTGAGCCTTTCGGGTGTCAGCTTCCAAGGGAAGTGTTTGTGGGTAAAGAGAGTTTGGAGTGAGGTTGTCAGACAGAAGCCGGGGGTGGTTTATGCTCCATATAAGAAGTGCCATTCTGTTTAATCTTCCCACACCCCAGCTAATGGGCAGCAGCTATGTTTTATATCCCAGGACCTCTTCCCACATTGGTGTTAAGATTGTACTTGAGCACCTGAGATAAAGGCAGTCAATCCAGTGACTGGTCACACACCCACTCTGTAGGAGCTGGCCCAATCTGAGTGCTGTCTTAGAGATTTGATTTTAGCAAACTGAGAGGCTGAGGCAATTGCCCCAGGAGAGAAGAAAGCGAAGTAAAGGAAGAGATGCCCTGAAGCAAGTCAATAGGGCAGGAGAGATCCTGGGAAGTCACAAAGCAATGTGTAAAGTTAGGATTAAGGAAAAAAAAAAAAAAAAAGAGATTAGATTTGCAGAGAGAAGCAGATGAAGAGACAGAGATTCCTTGATTGCTTTGATTTATATTCGTTTCCAGTTGCAGTTCGTTTGCCTGTATCTTTACAATAGACTTTCCAGTACCTGCCCTAGGATGTCTATTTGTACATAGATAGGAAGCTAAATGAAACATCCACAACATGAACTTGAGACTAAGAAGACACATTGTTATAGATTCACATTAGCAGAAAACCAGGACCTATTGCTTCTGATGTCCTTGGCACCCATCTGGTTATCCTTCTTGAAGAGGGTGACACATGCTAATGCTGTTAACAGTAGACCCTTAGGACAGCATCAGCTGATCAGCACAGACTACCAGGACTGAGCAGGGGACCTACGTCTGCCCTTCTCCACGTCGGTGGGGGAAGAGTCAAACTCCAGAGAGGAAGCCTGGGCTGCCAAAAGTGCAGCTGAAATTAGTGAGTGGGAAGCAGAGTGCGAACTCCAGATGTTTAGAATTAGGATGGCTATTAACAAATTTGTTCCCCCAGATCCACCAAGCTTGCTTTTTTAAAATTATTTTTATATCTGGTAAACAAACCCATATTCTCTTTTCTTGGCTGCAAATGGGATAATTCTTTAGGGAATGATAACATGCAAACCGGTTAACACAGTTTGCTATTCTTTCTCCAGAAATTGCATAATTCACACATCAACATGATTCTCTCAATTGGTAGTTTTGAAAACTTGGGGATTAAGTATAAACACCACCATATGCAATTACTCTTCAAGACTGGTTTTATGCATACCTGTCACCGAATTATTTTGTTTGCTGGTTTTGCCAGCTTTAGTGTCCAAATGTTACCTGAGCCATAAACATTAAATTTGATACTGCTGTCATGGGTAGGGCGGGGTTATAGAGTGGCAGCTTTTGTGTAGCAAAGTAATCATTTGCAGGTGATTAGCTGAGTTTATACCTGGGAATTTCACCTCTGCATACTCGTTTGTCCCACCAAGAAATGTGCACTCCTACACTATCGTTGCCTCTTCAGCAGCAACTTGAAATAAGGGATGTCTTCAGCTAACCTGGAACACACATTTAAAATTCTTATTACTATCTCCACTGCACAGATTTGTCACATAATTATCCGTATTGTGACATCACTCTGGCCTGTACAAACCAGTGTATAGCAAGTTTAAAGACTCCTTTCAACGGATCACAATAAATATGCCTTCTGACTGCCTCTCATAATGGAGTAGGAGAAGGATCCATTTCCTTTACTCTCAGCAGTCACATTTTTTGGAATCTATTGTCAGGGTTTAGAATCCATTAAAAAAGAAAATGAGAAAAAAAAAAAACAAAAGCTGCTCTGCTCAACAGATTCGAGCAACCTTCATAATCACGTAATGTTTGATTCACATTTCCCTGGTGTGTACACACACACACACACACACACACACACACACACACACACAGGATCTTTGGCTTTGTCTATCAGGAGCGATTGTGAAATGGTGGACATTGGAGTTACAGGCTACTTAAAACAGTCCTAAACCCAAAACGTTCATTTTACAGGGCCGATGTTCGAGAGAGAACTGCAAGTATCTTCACCCTCCGACACACTTAAAAACTCAACTAGAAATTAATGGGAGGAACAATTTGATCCAGCAAAAAACTGCAGCAGCGATGCTTGCCCAGCAGATGCAATTTATGTTTCCAGGAACACCACTTCATCCAGTGGTGAGTACAGCTTATCTAAAGACGGGATGGATGATCAAGTGTTGGTACAGGCAACGCCACACTGACCCAAGATGACCTCCCTCTACTTTATCACTTTGGTTACAATTACAGCAAATAGCTGTGAAGATCAGTAGAGGCTGGAAAACAGTTTTTTGTTTTGTTTGTTTTGTTTTTTTAATTTAAATGAAAAAATGTGTGTGGAAATACGAAGCAAAGACAGTTTCTAATCAATGTCTGAGAAATCTGTGTCACTCCATCTCTTTTTCATCAGTAAACTCCGTATCTGAACTTTCTTAGAATAGAAAAAGTTATATATTTTCATTTACAGTGTGAATTAATCATCTATATATCGAAGAGGTCGTGCTACCTAAAATATTTTTAGCAATGTTATCACATAGATTATTTAATTCAATGGCATCATTTTAAGGATGAGGAAAGAGAAAAACCAGAGAAGTTCAATGATTCCCTCAGTGTCATGCAGCTAATTAATTGTGGAGCTGGGACTTGAATTCAGGCAGGTTAGCCAGGGCACTTTCTGCAGTCTGCTCCAGCTGCAGCCTGACAGGCCCCAGAAGAAGGATGTCAAAGGTAGCAATGCAAAGAGACCCTGCCTGAGTCACTTAGGTCTCCTGTCTCTCACAGCCCTGCAAAGGGTGTGGCAGCTGTGACAACCATGGGATCAAATGCCCAAGGGAGTTAAGTATATGGCTATGTATTGTGTAATATTTTCTCCCTGATTTCACAGTATTTGAAAGTATTTCCTTAAAGGTCTAGAAATTGTTTTAGGAATGAGGCTCTGGGGAAAGGAGTATATTTGACTTTAGTGGGTTTCATTTACATTTGTAAATTATTTGTCAAAACCAAGCAATTAAAAACAAAAAAAGCCAGAGTGAATAAAATATGTTTTTTTAAAGTACATGCACAAAAGGCTATTGTTTAAAAATCAGTCTTTATTGTAGGAAAAGTCTGTGTGACTGAAAGCTGATAAATTAAAAGGGATGGCTACCAGTGAGTTCAGTTTTCTTATTGTGTTCCTGTGAGATGGGTTGGGGAGGGCAGGGGTGGCCCAGAAAAGAGAGAATCCCAGCAGGTTGTGAGCAATTCTGCTTGTCTCAAGGTTTCTGCACAATGTAGCCAGGAACCAATTCTGCCCAGAGTAAAAGAAATGCCAGGTGTAGGGGGCTCCAAGGAAAATAAGATTCAATCTTTTAGAAGTAGAAAGACACATGAAAAGTAAGATTCAGGCATAGGAAATGATGAAATTGGACAAGGAAAGGCTGCCTGGAGAAGATCTCAAATAAGTGTGACCTAAAGGATAAGAAAGAGCCAGCCCAGATGTAAGGGACTTAACACAGAGTTCTGAACACATTTAATGCCCCAAATAGGCATCTAAGTGGTTCTGTTTAAAACTACACACATGTATAACCATAGTTCTCTCCATTGATGCACGCATGTAAATTATTTTATTATATTACCTACATGCTAAAATAATTTAGTTATAGATATTAAATAATGTCTATAGCAATAAATTTAGAAACAGCAGGGTCAACTTAGTAAAAATGCACTAGGTATCTCACTCATTTGACCCAGAGACATCCTATTCATTTAGAATTAGTGAGGATTGACCCTGGTACTCAATGACAGCAATGTTAAAAAGAAAATTCCATTCCTGCTATTAACTGCTACTTTAACTTTTTTGAAAGTTATGTTTATGTATTGCCCCAAATATTAACTAGAAGTTAATAATCACCATTTCTCTATGAAAAAATGATACTACGTTTCAATATTTTAATGGAGGTTTATAAATCACAGGAAGAATAGAATTAAAATGTGATGTTTAGAAACCATCAACTCTACAAATTATTTCAGAGTCTCAGAAATGAATTAATGGCCTAGTACAGTGTAGTTGGCTGAATGATGGCCCTGAGAAGTGCCTGGAAACCATAAACGTCACCTTATATGGACACAGGGATTTTGCAGATGTGAGTAAGAATCTTGAGATGGAGAGATTCTCCTGTATTAAATTTAATTGCAAGTGTCCTTATAAGAGAGAGGCAGAGGGAGAGTTGGCACAGACAGAAGAGAAGAAGGCAATGTGACTTAGAAGAAGAGATTGGAGTGATGTGGCCACAGCCAAGAAATGCCAGCAGCCACCAGAAGACGGAAGGGACAGGAATGGATTCTCCCCAAGAGCCTCCAGAGAGAGCACAGTCCTGGCAACACCTTTATTTTGGCCCAGTGAAATTGATTTTGGATTTCTGGCTGCCAGAACTATCAAAGGATAAATGTGTGTTGTTTTAAGCCATCAAGTTTGTGGTAAATTGTTTACAGCAGCCACAAGAAACTAAAAGATGGAGAAATTGCTGAAAACCAATAAATTATAAACACAGAGTAGCAAGTGCCACACCATTTTTAGGTCTCTTTCTAAGCTAAACTAAAGCATTATGGATATTTTTTCCACTTCCTCCTCCTTCCATCCAACCCTGAACCCATTCCACTGAAATCTCTCACCAGTGTCCTCCATATCGCCAACCCAGTGGTCACTTTTTGCATTCATTGTTGCTATAGTCTGAATGTTTGTGTCCCCTCCAAATTCATATGTTGAAGTCTTAACCTCCAAGGTGATGGTATTAGGAGGTGGGGCTTATGGGAGGTGAGCAGGTCATGATGGTGGAGCCAGACACTGAATCTGCCAGCACCTTGATCTTAGACTTCCCAGCCTCTAGAACTCTGAGAAATAAATTTCTGTTTTTAATAAGCCACCCAGTTTACGGTATTTTGTTATAGCAGCCCGACTGGACTAAGACAATTTTATTTGACCTCTTAGCAATACTCAGCACATGTAATCAATCTCCCCTTTGTTGAACACTCCTTTCTCTCTGATGACTCCTTCCTCTGTCTCCTTTGCCCATTATATTCCTCTGCTGTATGTTGTGCTTCCAGAGCTGGATATTTCTTTCCATCTACTCTCTGCTTTGTGGTCTCATCCATTTCTGTGGCTGTAAATTATCTACAGGCCAAGAACCCCAAAATGTATGTTTCCAGTCCAAACCTCTCCTCTGAGCCTTAGGCTCATATATCCAACTTCCTACTGGACTCACCTATAAACTTCTCACAGGAATTTGAAATGTTCAAAACCAAGTTCTTTAATTCACTACATTCCCATTTTGGTAAATGGTACCATCAACCAGCAATCTCAAACCAAAACCTAGCAGACTCTCTTCTGCACTGTCTGACATCCGGTTCATCAGAAAGTCCTGGCATATCTGCCTGCAAACCCATGTACTTCTCTACCTCCCAGCTCCCCAGTCTGAGCCACCATCAACCTTTTTCAAAAACCTTATAAGGGCCGACCCCGTGGCTCACTCGGGAGAGCGCGGTGCTGGGAGCGCTGAGGCCGTGGGTTTGGATCCTATATAGGGATGGCCAGTGCGCTCACTGGCTGAGCACGGTACGGATGACACCAAGCCAAGGGTTACAATCCCCTTACTGGTCACAAAAAAAAAAAAAAAAGAAAGAAAGAAAGAAAAAAAAACCCTTATAAGCATTTTCCTTCTAATCTTTCAATTTCCACTCTTGCCTCACTCCAATAAATCCTGCATACAGCAACCAGAGGAACCTTTTAAAAACATAAATAGGATCATATCATTCCCTTACATAAAACCCTTCAATGCTTTCCCATTTCACTGGGGACAAAGCCTAAACATTTTACCTTGACTATGACCTGTAACGTCTTGTGATCTGGTCCCCACCCTGTGTACCAACTCACTTTGAGCCACTCTTCCTGGGTACACTGAGACCAAAGCAAACGTTCAATTCTGCGAACCCACAAAGTTCTTGCTGGCCTCATGGCCTTTGCTCTTGCTGGAAGTATCCTGCTACTCTTCCCATGTTAACTTCTTCTTATTCATAAGGATGCCAAACCTACCCCCACAGCCCACCTCCAGTCCCCATCACTCCCTACCAATGGGTCCTCCTCATTTTCTGCTTGTCCATAAAAATAAATTGTAATTTTGTTTGTTTGTATTTGCCCACTAGGATTTAAGTTGAGTAAATGTACACACAGTGTTCTGCCATCATGGCTGTACCAATAAACATTTATTAAATGAATAAACATTTAAGCCATTCTTTCCTCTGACAACTTTTCTGTCTCAAATTCACTATGTTTGAAAGTCACCTTCACCTTACTCCTCCTGGCAGTTTTTCTTTCCCCAATTCCTGATAGGATATAGCGGTAATTCTTCCTCCTCTTCCTTCCCAAAACACACGCAAGCTCCAAGTGTGCACTCAAGAAGCAGAGTGGGTGCCTTCCGCAGGATGAGATGTAAGAGCCTGTTCAGTCTGATCCTTAGGGACAAGGTCTCACCTCGAGTCTTCTGCCCTCCCGAGCTGCCTTCAGAGATGCCATACCTACCCTTTGACGGAAGAGCTTTCTCAATACACAAAACTATATCATTCTTATTTTAAAAAGCCAATTGACTGAACTTTAGAGCCACAAAACACCTCAGACCATTAGCCATTGCCCCCAGCATTTCTCCTGTCTCCCTACTACAAAATATGAAAAAATGTGCACGTGCGTGTATGTTGTGTGTTGTGAGTGTACATGAGTGTGTGTGTGTGTGTTGTATGTGTTGGATGTGTGTTGGATGTGTGTTGTGAGTGTACCTGAGTGTGTGTTGTGGGCATACATGAGTGTGTGTGTGTTGTGAGTGCATGTGAATGTGTGTTTGTCATCTTTGGGCCTGGATCTACGGATGTGCTGGGAAAGCAGAGTGGAGAGTGAGAAACGGGGACAGAAACACAGGCATGCGGAGTGACGAACAGAAGGATGGAACACAAGACCAGCATTTCTTTCAGAAGCGATTTTCTTCAAGAAGGCTTCCTGTGGATCCCGTCCTCTGGCCTCTTTAGCTGCGGGCTAGCACTAGGAGATGACGGAAACCAAACGGAGCCTGTCGCAGACAGCCTGGCAGCAGCACTTGTGCAGAGACTGCGGGGCTGCTGCTCCCAGGCTGCTGTTGGTGTGATTCCAGGAACAGAATCATTTGAAGGTGCTGCCCTTCTCTTCTCACTGCTGGCTAAAAACTGAATTCAGACACCAGGATACACTGTCGGCCTAGACCCTACCTAATTTAAATCCAGGATCTAAGAACCACTTTTCCAAGGCAGCAGGGCCCCATGTGACTGTTCAGAGGAGCCCCCACATCCTGCCTGTGGAAGGCCCGGGCTGGTCATGGGACATGCTCCTACACAACTCCCCACCAACGCTGTCTATACTCCAGAGACATACGGGCAACTGGTGTGTGGGGTGTTTTTTTAATCCACTCCTTTGTTTTAAAAAATTATCAACAAAATCCTGTGAGTACAGAGAAGTGTTCATAGCCCCTGACAGGGAGCCAGGAGTCCTGGGTGTCCGTCTTGACTGTGTCTCAGCAGCGTTGACCTTGGGTTATCCATTTAGTGTCTCTGCTCTAAATCACTTTCACCTGTAAGACTGAACAGTCCTTGCTGCCACACTTGTTTCTTGTGGATTTGAGAAGATTAAAGAAGACAGCATGTATGAGAAAGCTTTGCAAACAGTCAGAACCTTTCACAGATGTAGAGTATTACTGTCCGTGATAATAATAATACAGAATGCACATCTCTGCAAATTATCTTAACTGTATTTTTTAACTAATCAACTTCAGTGGAAAACACTGTATATAAATAAAGGAAAATACCCTAATTGAATCTATCTTCATAAGGCCTGTGAACTTTTAACTTTCAGTTTCACATAGAAGATAGTTATTTTTCCAGCCCATTTTTCAAAAAAGAAGATATTTGCTATAATTTAATTCAATTTTATACCTCCATGTATTATATTGCTATGCTGATAACATTTGTTAGAAAATCACAGAATAATTTGAGGCAAAAAAAAAAAAAACACTTTATTAATACTCATTTTTATGCTGTTAATGATAGCTGCTATTTGTTGAGTTCTGACCATGGGAAGAGGGAAAGAGATAGCACCTTGTTTAGCCCAACCCTTTAAGTAGTTTTACTTCATTGCAGATGAGAAAATTAAAACTCAGAGAGGTTAATTTCCTCCCCAGGATAAAAATTAGTATGTAGCAGAGCACTGGATTTGAATTCAGGTCTCTCTGAGTCTAAAATCTGTGTTTTTACTTTTAAACACAATCATACTATTTCTCTGGGAACTGTGTTACAGCCATTACCAGTAAAATATATTGAAACATTCATTTTAGAGCATTAAATCAGACGAACAAGTAACAATATTTGGGGGAGCAAAACTAACTAATAACAATAGATTTGTTGAGGTCCAAAAAGGTTTAGGAAAATGAGTTTTGAGAGTCTCAAAAGGTTTAGGAAAATGAGCTTTGAGAGTCTCACATCCTAATGACAGTTAAGGTACAGCCTGTATTTATGTCACCATACTGACCTTGGCTACAGATGATCTGTGGGAAGGGAGGATTGGAAGTTTGTTTCCCTAGAAAATCAAAATGGAGGTGTGGGGGAGGGCTCTTTTCTCTAAAAGTTTACTTTGATAATTAGTCTCTGGGTTAAATTACATCCTTAGTACAAGTTTTTAATACCTATTTTCACTTCTCATCTGTGACAGTGGTCCCCAAATTTGGCCACGCATCAGATAATTTTTTCAATGCAAATTTAAAGGCCCCTGCCTAGACCTATTGTGTCAGAATTTACCTCTATTTTTAAAGATTTCCCCAGGCATTTCTGATATAGCTGGTCCATTGAGTTACTGATATGTTGTGATTTATGACCTTTCAGAATTGATTTTTTAAATTTCTAACATTACATAGCTCTTATACAATTGCAATCACTTGGCTTTTTAAAAAAATCATACTAAATTATAAACGCTACAGTTACTGAAAACCATAACTTTCTATAATTACAACTCAAATGGGTAACATACACATATAAAATTTCTTAGAAAGTCAAGGAAGAAAAAAAATCCTACTTGCTATTTTCTACATTGAGAACTCATGTTGCAACTTTCTCCCAAAGCGAATTTTATGTCTGATCCATAAAAATCTAAGAGCTTCTCGTGGGAGTACTGGAGCAGCAGCGCTCTAAGGCCGTCAGAATCACCTCCTACAGCCCCCAGCCACTTCAGTAAAGACTTTTCAGCCTCTCTGAGAACTCCCTGCACAAACTATCAATAATTTACTGTTTTCTAATATAACCATTTATAAGAGATATTTTTTCTGTTATTGCTATAAAGAAAAAAATGTGTTTGCTAAACATAGATTGTTATTTTTTTCAACATTCAGGATCACAGACAACAAGAATGCTACCTGCAATGTATAAATACAGAAGTTACATGACACAGGCGACAGTCTAGGTCAACGTTAGAAAGTTGCATTAACGCAGATATATGAAAACTTGAAAACAAATGGATTAAAAATCGTCTATAACAAAAAACAAACAAATAAGAACCACTGAGATCCAAATTAGTGTAAAATTTATTCTAAGAAAGATCTTTAGCATCTCACATTTTTAGCAGTTGTTCTTTGAAGGTGAAACAGGGTTTGTTGTTCTCTTAAGTGTACATTATTTCCTTTCTGAAAGGAGGAATTATTTACGTTTTTAAGGGAAGCTTTTAAAAATAATCATCCCGTCAACCCAGTAGCATTTTTCTTCTTATCCCTGGCAAAGGAGCACAGTGATAGAGAACAAATTTAATAAGGTCCTAGATGCTCTTGACACTGCTGTGTTGATTTTGTGACCTAGGGAACCAAACCAAATTTTAATGGCCAACTGAGAAACTGGTTAATTGAAAAGTTCAAGATCTTCCATCCACCCTTTTAGTAAGAGACAATTGGATCTAGACATAGTTGAGTGACAGTAAAAAGATAGTAGGTCTCTATGAAAACCCCATATGAATATTGGGAATATATATGCTAGTGATGGAATATGGAAACATACTAAGTCTGCGAAAAATAAAATCCCAAGTAAGTCCCACTTTTTGAGAATGTGTAAACTTGGTCAACTTGAAAATCAGGCTATAATCAAGGATTTTCTTTATTCCTCTCTCTTTGAGAGACATATGGGAGAAATCAAAGACTATCAGTCAGTATTCCACAGGTTTTACTGCCTTAGTGGTGTAACATTCAGAAGTTTAATCTGTACCCTGTAATTAGGTTTCTATGATGTTCTTTCATACTGAGAATCTATATGGATTTCATTTTTATTAAGCAAAACAAAAAGAGGAAGTTGAATGAATGTTCACAATTCAGCATTGAATTATGCACCTAACACAGAGTTTTGTAAATGGTGAATAAATTTTGCTCAGATGACGATTGCTGGTAATTTGTTAAAGTTTTATTCTAAAGAAATCTTTTTCCTGTGTTGTCTTCTTTTAACAGCCCACTTTTCCTGTAGGTCCCGCAATAGGGACAAATACAGCTATTAGCTTTGCTCCTTACTTAGCACCTGTAACCCCTGGAGTTGGGTTAGTCCCCACGGAAATTCTACCCACCACACCCGTTATTGTTCCCGGAAGTCCACCCGTCACTGTCCCGGGCTCCACTGCAACTCAGAAACTTCTCAGGACTGACAAACTGGAGGTACTTTAATTATATTTGTGTTTTGAGATGCATTTGTGATAGAAGTATGCTTTTATGTAAGTGAATGCTTGTGAGATATCATTCAGTCCTGCAAAATAGCCATGTGCACACACACTCATCTAAACCCTATGCATTCATAATTCTATGGTTTGAAATTAAGAACAAGTATAAAAGAAATTAGTCTATGAGGAAAGAATAACTTTAATAGAAAAGAAAAATCAGCTGCATAGAATATGTGTTTAAGAGTAAAATATTTAACAACCAGTAGAATATTGAACTAATCACTATGCAGTCCGTAGAGATGGTTCAGGGTCCTGAAGGCTTCTTGTAGTGCTGGGCAATAACCCTTGCTGGATCCTGGAATGTAGGACACTCGGGGACAGGGGTAGGAGTAAGTGAGACTACAACTATTTGCCAATTAGGATGATCATATTTCAGTCTTTTAAGAACAAGTATGGCTGCTCTAGTGTGTTCCAGAATATCAGTCCTGATTGTGTTGTTTGGAAACAAGGGGGAATTGAAGGCTGGTTAAATTTAGTTATTAATTGAGATATTTTCTTTGACTTAAATTCAAGTGGTCTACATAATTCAAAAAAACAAGTTCATATTTTTATAAGGTATAATTTTTAAGTTGTCAATCCAGCCAACCCTCCTGTACTTTATTGGGAAAAGTTTTTCTTTAACCATAGCTAGAGAATTCATCTATTAATCTTACTATTACATCCCTACGATATTTAGTAGGGTATTTTATAAAGGTGTATAAAGATTCTCATAGGCTTTTCAAAGAGCTTTTTTCATTCCACTACTGACTAAAATTGTTAGGTGATATTTGTATCATTAAGACATACATTGTGCTTTACATTGGAGAGAGAATGTTCTTTCAATGTGCACTTGTTTAAATATTAACCCAATGAACCTTGAGGGCAATAAAATGTTGCTACCTGATATCCTGTCAGTGTTTTAGAATTCAGAATTGCAAACTGCAAATATTTTTTAAAATATATATTTTTTTCACTGAGCTTCAATATGGAATATGGATCCAAATGAAGAGAATGTAAATTCAAATCGCTACTATTTTGGAAAGATCTAGCCTATCCCTATGAATACTGAATAGACCTTTCAGGGCATGGGAAAAGTGTTTCGGGCTCCACCTGCTGGATCCACGGAGCTTTCGTGTTCAGTATCCGACTATGTGTTATAGAAAACAAATTAAATCAGTGGAGTTGGGAACAAACAGTCCTTCCCAGCAGGGCTAGTTGACAAAGACATATGTAAAAATGATTCACAATGATTTTAGCAGAGCAGCTTTTGGTTTATTTCAAACCAGGAATGAAGTCAGCTGCATAAAGAAACCCTTGATAAATGCTTGATGGCTGGTCTATACCTATGATGCTGTCACAGATGAGAGTCATTCCATTTATAGAGGAAGGCTTACTCAGAATCTGTGGGAACATCTTAGTAATATTTATTTTGTACATTTCATGAACTAAACAGAGAATGTTGGCTAGTATCCAAAGTAGAGGAAACAATTAGCAATTTTATGACTTATTCTGTTTACTCTTCAACCTTGCCTGGCCACTGGTCAGTAGAGCAATATTTCCCCACTATATTTGACTTTCACAAGTGGTGAATTTCATGTCAATAACTCTTCATATAACATCACTGATTATCAAGATATGAACCATCACTTACACATACCAACTTTGGAATTGGATCCTAAAAAGGAATAACTTAAAATTATACCAGTAATCCCTCCTTGCTAATTATGTTTATAAATGTAATATACCTATGTTATTCATGGTTTTTCATGTTGTCTATATTCAGGGCATAATTAAGAATACTCTTCAAATTCTAAAGAAATGTTTCTTTGTACAGTAACATCTTCATCCACCAGAATTCTCAGAGGATGGAGAATTCTAGTTACTTGAGATTTCAGGATTATTTAGGATTAAAGAATAAAAAAAAGTTAACACTTCCAACTTTATTCTACTTCCCTCTGTTTATTTCTTTCCCTTTATCTCTTGCCATATTTCTCTCCTTTTTTTATCTTTTTTAAATCTTCTTTCTGTACTGTCAAAAACAATAATATAATGACCTTAAAATGAAAGTTTTAATGTCCTAGATATTGTAGTTCTTCTAATGCATGACTATAAATTATCATTGCAGAGCAGGGGAGAAGGTGGGAGAAACAGGAGTATTCATTCCGATTCACCCCATCCTCAGAGAAAGGAAGAACAAGTTCGTCATTTCCCCTGATTCTTTTTGGATGTGTACAGCTATGACCTGGTAGCTTGATCTACTGGAAAAATTATCCCTCCATTCCAAACAAAACAAAAACCTGTAACATCCCCACAGTTGTTGTTAGGGTAGGAGATTTGAAGATAGACAGATGCATAGATAGATGTGCTTCCCAGGGACCATGGAGACTATGCTGATTTTTGTTATTTTAGCTACACTGCAGATTCCAGATTATTTTCTCAATATAGATGTTCACCCTGGAAAAGGGGGCAAAACCAAACTCAAATTGGTTTGTCAGCGATTCTGGTTACTTGGGTTCTGGATAATCGAAATCTTCTTGTCAATAGCACAAAAGCCACCATTAAAAGAAAGGAAAAGCGTCGCTTCCATTCCCTACACACATGGCCACGGGGGCCGCGGAAGAGCGCTGGGGCCACCAGGCTTCCTTCTGCATCGCCCGCTCTTCTTCCCCATCTTAGGTCTGCAGGGAGTTCCAGCGAGGAAACTGTGCCCGGGGAGAGACCGACTGCCGCTTTGCACACCCCGCAGACAGCACCATGATCGACACAAACGACAACACCGTAACCGTTTGTATGGATTACATAAAGGGGCGTTGCATGAGGGAGAAATGCAAATATTTTCACCCTCCTGCACACTTGCAGGCCAAAATCAAAGCTGCGCAGCACCAAGCCAACCAAGCTGCGGTGGCCGCCCAGGCAGCTGCGGCCGCGGCCACAGTCATGGTAAGTGCGGCGCGCCCGCCGCCCCTGCCCGCGCCCTCCCCCGGGGGCGGCTGGCTCCCGCGGCCGGGGCTCGGGTGCTCTTCCGAACAATCGGGAACAGGGACGGCTGCTATTCCTGCTGCTCCGCTGCCTAAGTTTCGTTGTGGTTTCCCCCTTTTTGTTTTGTTTCCTTCTCCTTCCCTTCTTCGGCACAATAAGTAAATCCCTCAGGCGTAGGGAACCAAATTCGACCCGTGAGCTCTGTGTTAACTTGGGGTCCTCTTCAGAGAAGGGTGCAGGGGCCTTGTAGGGAACGGGAGGCTGGGCGCCTGAGCCTGGGAGAGTGGGAAAGACAGACCGACTCCTGCAGCAGAAAGCAGCCGCAGGAGGAGGGCGTGGCTTTGCAGGAGCCTAGCAACAAGTGACAGAGTTGGGGACTGGCTTCGCCCTCTTCCTGCTTTTCCCCCTCTCTTTTTACTTATCACAGGGGCAATGTTTGTCACCCCCACCCCACCCCAATGAAATTTTATGCAGAATGGCAGTTCATGCAACAGATGGACTGCCTGGTGCAAAAAAAAAAAAAAAGACCTGTAACCCGACTTTGCTTCCCCATACTGTCCCTTAGAGACCAGCAGCCACATCGTTATTGTCACCTGGGAGCCTGTTACAGATCCAGAAACTCATGCAGCCTAACTATCCCATAGAGACCTGAAGTGCCATACTCATTATCACCTAGGAGACTGCTAAACCTCCAGGATCTTGGGCCTCACCCCAGACCCTTGGGATCAAAATTTGAATTTTAAAATATCCCCAAGTATTTTGTGTGCACATTAACAAAGTTGGCTACATTTTGGAATTACCTGAGGGTTTTAGAGAAGGTCCGTCATCTGTCCGTTCCCCAAAATTTCTTATTTAATTCATCTGGATATGGCCTGGCCAGGGCATTTTTTTGAAAGCTCCCAGGTGATTCCAATGCACACCAAAGTTTGAGAACCACCACGCTAGGTTGTAAAACTTTCAAATTCATTTGTTTGAATGTGAGATTGCTGGTTTATCAGAAGTCTATTTTAATTTATGATAGGCACTGGGCACTCATTCATTCAAAACATTTAGTGAGACCTGCCATGCATCAGGCACTTGCCGGGCAGAATAAATAAATTGGGCAGGTTTCCTTGCCATCAAGGAGCTTGGGGTTTACCACATGAGGGCAATAATGGTCCTCAAGGACATGATGGAAATGCATAACCCAGTGGGGCAGGCAGGATGCACCAGCCAGTCCTCCCTTGGGAAGAATAGATAAGGCTTCAGTTTAAAAACCGCGCTGTAGGCAGCGATCACCATCTCGTACGTTGGTAACTGGTTAAAGTGGAAGGGCAGCTGTCATGCAAACACATTCATCATCACACAACTTTCCTTTCACTACTGTTTATAAAAGCATGGACCTGTGATAAGTAATAAGCACGCAGAGAGAAAGGCACAGCCTGCCCTGATGTATCACCACTTGATGTGGGTTTTGTGGTAAAAAAACACCTTCCTGACCTGACAGTCTTTCCAAGCATCTTGAGCACTGGCTCCTCCATCTGTCTCACTGTTTTTTTTCCTCAAAGTCCTTGCCCCTTTAATGTTTTTTCCTCATGTCCTTCTCATTCTTATGTCATTGGACATAACACTGATTTTTCTGAGTGTGAGTTCCTATATATGGGGAGATGGATGCATCCATACAAGAAGGTCAGTAAAAAATAGAGAAATTGTCCATTTTGTTTTATTCTAGTAAAAGTGGTTTCCAAAACTCATTATAATTGGGAATGGGGACAAGGGCAGGGAAGATGAGAGTAAATGGAGAACTTAATTGCTAGTGAAAAAAGAATTCTTTTCGAGAGCAAACAAGGTTTTTTATTGTGTTTCTTCAGTGTGGAATCCACCTAGTAAAGATCTCATCCTATGAGAAGAAAGACTTTTTTCACTGCAATCATCCTTTTAGGCCAGCCCCAGCTTATACTAACTGGTATGTTGATTGCTGTGTACTAAACACGTTTTTCCATAGAATTCATATTATAAATCATAGTTAGGTATCTGGGACATCCCCAAGGCTAGTCAGGACTCTGGTCACAAAGACAAAAACTCAGCCACAGTAGCTTGTATGAAAAAGCTGGACTTTACTGGATCGTGTAGTGGCCTCCAAAGAGGGTAGAGGTAAAACGGGCTCAGTAATGCCTGGGTTCAGGAATGTGCAAACCAGCAGGTCTCTCTCTTCTTTCTCTTCCCTGCTTCTCTTTGTATGTTGGCTCCATTCTCTAAGGCCAGCATCTCTACATGACACAGACCATGGCTTTGGACATCTATAGGGACGTGTTCTTACATCATTTGAGAATAGAGAAAATGATATCTTCTACATCGCCTCTAATTAGGGGGGATAAAAACCAGTTAAGGGTTATTTTGGTGGCTGTCCCTGTGGTTATAAGATGCTATAATTGGCTCAGCCTGGGTCACAGTGGCCATCTCTGACCACGGGTATGAGATGAGAATCTGTGAATGTGAAAACATTAGTCCCTATAACTCAGATACCTGTTAATACAACAAACCATTGTACCGATAGTGACCTTAGGGCTGAGCCCTGATTTTATCTGCCTGTTTCCTACAAGTACCAGTTTTAATGACTGTAATAAAATATGTACTTCAATCATTGAAAAAAAATCTTTTTTTTTCTTTTTTTGGTGGCTGATTGGCACGTGGATCCAAACCCTTGACCTTTGTGTTATAAGGTTGCGCTCTAACCAACTGAGCTAATCGGCCAGCTCCAGTCATTGAAAAAACAATGCCGTTAGTGTCCATCAATGGTAGATGACGCGGCTGAGGAAGGTGAGGGAGGAAACAGCCACGCACACAGACAGGGCATGCCCCAGCCTCGCGTCTTGAAGTCAAAGCTGTGCTCTTGTAGGTCGCCTTCCACACATTTTTGCAGTACACCCATCCAGACACACGAAGGTTATTGTGGTGGATGCCAGGAGAGTTAGTTACCATAGTTTCTTGGATTGCTACACCGTGCCCAAATTTAGAGTTCTGATAAGTCAGAGGATCTTGCAGTATCTTCGAAGACAACCCAAAGGAATGTAGTTTCAGAACAAAAGCCAGCTTCTTTCTGACAATGACATGAAAATTACTGAATCTGTCATGTCTTTTTAGTGGAAGTGAGAGGCTCATTTGAAACCAGCCTAGGTGCAGTTGGATAAAATCAAAGTCTTCTTATTCTAGTAGCAGAATTACTCAGTACACTGAAGAAAACCCATTATTTAATTTCCTTATTTAAAAGGACAAATGGGAGGGATGATTGCAGTTAGAAGATATTAATATTCCACTCACCCAGCTTCCATATCTGAACCTAAAGCATTTCCGTAGTGCAACTTTTATTGTTGTCAAGAGGTTTCTCCCCTATTTTGATTAATTAAGTTCTGAAAAGAATTTAAAGCTTTGACTCCAGAAAAGGAAACATTTATTTCCTTTAGAGCCTTATTCTTTTACAATACCTCTTAAAACATAAGTATCACCCTCACCAGAATTTTGTAAATGTGAGAATAAGCCAGACAGAGCTTCTTTTTGGAAGTTTTAACACAAAGGGTGTCTGATCTTCATGCAAGCAGTCCTTGTTCACATATACCAAAATGGAAAAGGAAACAGAACAAGCTGCCATCAGCTAGATAAGTTTCAATTGTTCAAGAAAATGTGCACAGGAACTTTGAATTCTATCCTGCTTGTCCATATTCTTTCATTCCACATTAAAGTGGCAACTCAGATTATTATTGTCAAGGCTTCTTGACCCCTCAGGTTTGGTCTTTGCCTGTAACACCTGGTGTGGGCCCTTGGTCTGCTCTCCTTGACCTGCAGGTGGATTGTTCCTCAATCCAGAAAAAGAAAAACCTGGCTGCACATAAGCCTTTCTCCTACTCATGCACCCTCTTACACAAAGCTGGAGGGACCAAGAGGGGAACAAGAAGGGGCGCAGGGTCAGAAATGTTGGTAAGGGCCGGCCCGGTGGCGCACTGCTACAGTGCGCCGCTTGGGAGCGTGGTGGAGCTCCCGCCGAGGGTTGGGATCCCACATACAGACCGGCCGCTCACTGGCTGAGCGAGGTGCGGGCGCAACGCCAAGGGTTGCGATCCCGTTGCTGGTCCCGGTCTGGTACGGGCGCAACACTGAGGGTTGCGATCCGTTGCCGGACACGAAAAAAGACAAAAAGGAAAAAAAAAAAAAGAAATGTTGGTAAGGCCAGCGAGAGTGAATGCAAACATCTGGCACGTAGTAGGGGCTCAGTTAAAAAGAACCTCTTTCTTTGCATTGGTGCTTTAGGAGGCTCCTGGGAAGCATCGGGCTCTGTGACCTCTAAGGTCTGTTCTAAGCCTGAAGATCTTTCAATGTGGGTAAATACAGGCCAGCAGTCATACAATATTGTCTAAAACAGAACATCTGTGTACTAAAAATCAGTATTATAACATGATTATTCATCCACACAGATTTTTAAAATATATTCTACATATACGCTTCACAGTGTGGGGCGTACAAGATGTTAATATGCATGCTCTGCCTTCTAAGACCTTGATAAGAAGGTCGTCTTACTTGAAAAGAAGATATTTGCATCTAATAAACAACACTCACACTATGGAAAGGTAGAAAAACATACTCTCATGGTCCCGCTCACTTTAGAGTTCTCAGTTTCTTTACATTCCCAGATTATTCTAAATTCTGTGGAAATTGTTTCATTTAACTAAGAAAAAAGGAGAACATTAACCTTCCAGATGACTGTCCTGAGGAGAACTAGTTAATGTTTCTTATTCTACTTGGAGACTTCATTAAATGGTGTTTCATTAAATCATACTTTTGTTCATAAATACCAGTCTTTGGAGACATAATCAATAGTAGATTCATTCTACTATTAGTAGAGTAGTAGATTCATTCTATAAATCCTAAGGACTGGGAAAGTGAGGGGAAAAATTGAGTCCGGGCCTCCAGTTAATGTACTCAGTTGAATATTATGAGAATAGGGTATGTAGCTGTCTTTAGCTAATAAGGATTAATTTAAGCACAAAACCAAACCAAAACAAAACTCTGCATTACTTAACAATGTACAACTGTGCAGGTATAAAAGATTTTCAACAAAAGTGGCATCATGGAAGTCCCATGGTGCTGAACTTATATTAGAGGAAAGAATATCCAGCACACAGAAGCTTTCTTATTGCTGAGCTCATCATCTTTTTGGGTTTTTTTAATTTTATGTTGTTTGATGGCCTCTATTAAAATCACTTTCCAAAACATTTTCTTCTCCATTGGCCATTCTAAATCTCTTCTCTACCTATAGTCTTTTCCACTTTATTTTCTTTCTTTTTCCCCCTCCATACTTTTTATCCAGGATCATCAAATTTGTCACACCCTTTATTTGCCAAGGAAAATATCATTAATTGTTTCCCATTTTAGGAGTTTAGTACTATCCTATTTCAAATGCCATAGCTCTACCTCAGAACTTTAGAATATAACAGTTGTATTGATTAGACAAACCTTAGGGATTTACTTATTGTGCTAAACATAGAAAAGGGGTATTTTATTTTTTTATTTGCATTAGAGCTATTCCTTTGAGTTTCTTTCTTTTCGCAGAGTTCCATCATGGAATTTTTAGATTTTTTTTTACAACAATTAACAGGAGTAGGAAAATTTTTCATTGTGGTCTAAATCAATCCATATTTATTATTATTTCAGCTGTTTAAATGAAACTATCTTCCTAAAAATATGTTTTGAGTTAAAGATATTATTTTACTTCTAATCTTTCAATCAGTTCTTTGCTATTTTTAGCTGTTGTACTTGTGCTAGCCAAGAGTTCCTCTTCTCATTAACTGGGATGGTCATTGATTGTAGCTAAAAATACAAATAGAATTACTATATTAAAATTATTTTGATACCTGAGGACACTAAATACCTTCTTAAAGGGTATTTTCTTAGTGTAATCCGGTAAGTTGTTTGAGATAAATTAAATTACAATTTCAAATGTAGTAGAAAAAAGAATGGATGATAAGTTAGCCACTAGAAATTGGATGATGGAATAAAAGTGGGAAATTCTGGAAATCACGTATTTAAATTCAAAACATATTAAGTTAGAAACCTTAGTCCACATTGCAAGAACCACACTAGCAGAGTGAAGAAAAAAATTGAGACAATTATGCCCACGATTCAGACAAAAAATAAAGATCCAAACCCAGTTTTGCCTAAATAATCTTGTGTTTGAATATTTTTTTGCCTGAATTTTTTGTCTCAGTTTGCCACTTCATTTTGTTAGGTTAGATTTGAATTAAAAATTATTTTCATGAAATTTTTCAACTTGGCTCTTATACTCGATATATTCATTATTTTATATTTGAAAACTAACTTATCAGAAGTTCTTCAATCCTATGGCCCTTAAAAGTTTTGCATTTTTTTCTGAAGCAATATAAGAAGTGCTTATGGTGTGTATGCAAGCTGCTGTTTTAATTAACTTTCCTGAATTTCAAACATCTATATTTTACTCTCTTATATGCTCTTAACTAAGGTATAGTAGATGCATTTTAGCTTCAATACTAATTTAAGGTGTAATATTCATTTCTTTAGAGAACATTTTTGTTGTTGTGCATGCCTAGTGTTTTGTACGTTGTATATTGCATTCAGAATATTTTTTTCCTTCTCACCTATCCACAATGCAATGCCGTTCCCATGATGCACCTCTGCTTGCTGTTTACCTGTATGTTAATTCGCTTGAATCCCATTGGCCCACTGCCATCATGTGCTCGCTGCCTGTTATTAAAAGACTCAGTCGACTGCCAAAGCAATGAAGCGACCTCTCGAAGCAACTGTAGACCTGGTACTTTGACCTTTCACCTTTCGCTTTGCATGTAGCTTTTCAGAGAACCATCTGAGATTTGTATTACTTGTAAAATATTGGTTGCAAACAATCATTATTATTAATTTATGAAAAAAATTCAATAAGGTGTTTAGCCATCTCATTTTCATATGTAATCTGTGAAATAAATTAATCCTAACAAATTTTAATACCATTTCCAAAACAGTGAAGCAAATTTAAATTACTTGGCTCAGAAAATGTTCATTATAATTCTCATTAATCTTTAAATTAAAGAAATTGTCGTTTAGTTAAAGAGTAGGTATTAATAATAACACAAATGCTTCTCCCCACCTTAGAATAGTTTAACTCATTTTAGAAGCTGAAGCCATTTTCTTGTTGTTGTTGCTTGATAGTTTTTCTTTTCCTTAGTTGAGATGCTACCGTTTTGGGTTACAGAAATCATGCTTTTGCTCTCAATAACAAATTCTCATGCATTCGACATTGCCGCTGTTTAAATTAAGGTGCATGGCACAGGCATCTCCTTAGCTGTCATTTTTAAAAAGAATGTTGTATTTGATGATCTCTGTGGACACGGAAGGTGTGTTTGCTTTAAGTTAGACATCTCTTATCGAATTCTTCATTTCTAGGCCTTTCCTCCTGGTGCTCTTCATCCTTTACCAAAGAGACAAGCACTTGAGAAAAGCAACGGGGCCAGCACGGTGTTTAACCCCAGCGTCTTGCACTACCAGCAGGCTCTGACCAGCGCACAGTTGCAGCAACACACTGCGTTTATCCCAACAGGTGCGTGCCCTTACCGTCCCACGTCCTGTGTCCTCGTGCCCTTCCGGTCATGTGCTTTCTTCTCATTTCTTTAAGCTGTTTGGTGGCATCTAGTTTGCTTTTAAAGGTACAGTACAGCCTGAAATTCATGGTTGTCCTAGCTATCTAGATGTATTTACCTTGCTTTGAATGATAGCTAAAGACTGTCAGGATTCTAAAGCCAAATATTTGATAGAGTTAAGTGACAGATTTAAAACATGAGACACAGAGAGCAGCTAGGGCTTTTGGTTTCTAGTATTTACACAAGCCCTGTGAAATTGTTTATGTAAATAAGACCTTTTATGTGTGACAACTGAAATTCGTTGTTAACTTTGAACGACCTAAAAATGCAATTCCAGTAAATACTAACCTTTTTTTTCCTATTTCTATTCAGAGCACTAAAAAAAGAGGCTATTCAAATTAAAACAAACTTCTACTCATATTTTTATATCCATTCTATGTCTTTCTCCATCCTTCTCAACTTTCACCAAATTCACAAATATAGAGAGCTCTTATCTTTGGTTTCCAAGCCAATGCCTGATAATATTAGGTGCTACAATGCATTAACTCTATTATTACACTAAGAGATCTAGTATGTTAATCTAGTAGTTTAAAGGATTCTTAGTGATCTCTTCATCCAGTTGATTGTTTTACAGATGAGAAAACTGAGGCCCCCCAAATAAGAAGTGACTTTCCAAGGTGGCACAACTAATGACAACAGATGTAGAACCTAGTTTCCCTACGATCAGTCCAATTTACATAACATTATACCACCCATCTGGCCTCCATATGTGGCTTCCATAGAGTTCTCCTAAAAAATCAGATAAAAGTGAATTTTTTTAAAAGTGGCATTAAAAAACAGATTAAAATGAAGAAACAAAAATATAATGCATATCAGCCCTCCTGCATTTTTTCACCCACTTCCCTGACCACAGACACATACACACCATACAGAAACAAACACAGTCACCACAAATTGACTGTGGTTTTCACCTGTTAGTTTGTGTTAGAAGCAAGGAGTGACTTAGGCCTTGGTGGGAAGACCATCCCTTGAGTTCTTCATTTCTCAGTCAAACTTTTTCATTCCATAACAGTGAGTTGAAGATAAATACAGATGAATAACAATTTTATCAAAAGAGCTTCTGGTTGGACTTTTCCAGCTTATTATCCATTTCCTTAAACCCCATAACATATCAGAAGTGAACTTCAGAGATAGCCGAATAAATATTTCTGCAATAGTCTGTGTTTGAAATTTACTCTTCGAAATGAATTAGCAACCTATGAACAACAATATTTATTATAGTAAAAATATAAATTATGTAAGCAAAAAGGTTTTTAGTGTTTATTTTTCTTATTTTAGTTTTGCACCTATCTTAAACTCATAGACCTGTAGAGGGAATCTCTAATTCAGTACTTATTACGGCTTCACTCTTGCCCTCTTACAACCTTAATTAGTGTCATTCCAGTTCTGTTATAGCATAGCAGTATTTGTACTCATAAACCACTTGAAATGACATATTTGTAGAATAATTACTAGATGGTAAACGTACCTTAGGGTCCTGTGTGGTTTCTACAAATTCTCATTATAGACCTCTTGGCCACTAGATATTTTAAGAGAAAAAAAATTAAGGAGGAATAAACTGAGGGAAAAAATATTAAAGGACAAGTCTGTTTCTGAAGAATGGGTGATATGCCATTACCATCTCCTGGGAATACCGATGAAGCCCTGGAGCTAAGCCTTGAAAAAGACCGAAGCCCTCTAATGCACACTAAACATTCCAATCACATAACGACTGGTTTGTTAAGTCACTGAAAGAATCCTCACTTTAAAATATTTCACCTGGAAACAAACTGAATATTATCAAAGCAAGGATGAATAACATCCCTCACTCAATGACCTGATTTTTGTTGATGAAGTGTATTACATTAAGGACCAATATGCAGTATTGGCTTCTGTGGTTGTGTACTTCCGCCCTCTGGTGGATTCCTTAGGAATAGCGCAAGTGTGTCTGGCAGCCCTAGATACAGTGGGCTTTGGAAGCCAGAGCGTGGGTCCTGGCCCATTTAATTCTGTGAATTAGAAGTACTTCCATCTGTTATATGATATAAATATCATAGTGGACAAACATGTGGGTCTCGTGATCTGAAATAGTATTTCACCTTCTAAGAAATTTTCACGTGTCTTTTAAATGAGAAAGAAAATAATTTTATTGAAAGGAAATCAGCATAATCTTTCTTCCACTTAAATCCGTAACAGAAATTTCAGTGTTTATTTTAGCTTGAGTTTTTATTTCAGGCTTTCTTTCTTGTAAACCACATTTCAATCTTATTTTAAAAATGAAAGTGATCATAATCATTCATTGTTAATCATTGTTGTTTTTAAACCTCTGCAAATCAAATAATGATGTTCAAAAATAATTTCTGTAACTTGGTAGATGGTGGGCCCATTATTTTTAAATGGAAAAATTTTTATTTTTCTATAAACGTTTTACATAAACAATTATCATGAATATGAAACAAAAAGCATTTTATGTTTTTCTGCAGGTTGACCTTTATTGAAAGGTCGTTCATAGTAAAGTTTTTGATGTGCTATTCAAATTCTCCTATTTAAACAATATAAATTTGGATTTTAGGAATTCTGCCTCCTGGCTGTAAAGATATTAATATTAAATACTATGCAAAATATGGGATTCTTCTCCAAAACTATACTAAGATAATTATTGCCCTAGCACATTTGCAGTGGGTGGTATTTTTCCTTTTTTGATAAGGATTATTTTAACCAAGTAGTTATACTTTTTCTTCGCTATGTTAGGAAAGTGGCAAAACCACACACACTTAACAAAAATAGCAGCATAATAATTCTTGGCATTTCTCTGACAGGTTTATTCTGAGTTACTGTAAGTGTTCTTACAGACATTATCTCATTATTCTTCAAGATGTTGCAGTTCTGTTAGTGGCAAGCATAGTTATTTGCATTTTGCAGGTGGAAAAACTGAGGCTGTGTCTACACTGCAAAGTGGAATATATAATTAATGGAATTACTCAGATAATTCTGGCTGACAGATACTATACCTGAAATATTTGTGCAACTGAAGCATAAAACATTTGAGAAGGCTTTGTTCACAGAATCAGTGCCTCAGTGAAATGCTTCCATTGGTCAGAGCAAAGGGGAACCACAAAATCCTTCCTGATGTATTTCGTTGTGTTGGAAGTACAGAGTAAGTAGAACAGGAGAAGTGCTAGCCCAACTACGGCCTAATGATGACAAACTATGCATGTTACGTAAGGTCATCACACAACTTGGTGAAAGATTTATCAGTGTTTAGTGGAAACTGTGTCTGCATCACCACAACAAAATGTATTTATTCCATTCAATTCAGCAAATATTTCTTGAACACGTAGTATGTTCTGGGTTCCGGAGCCAGTAACGAGAATACAATGGCATTCAGAACTAGGTGAAAACAAACAGAATACAAAGCATTAAGCACTACCTGAGGGTGTGAGCAAAGCCATCCGAGAGTGAAGGAGAGGGAGGTGATGTATTCTGCCTTACGCATGTGTAGCAGGTGGTGGTTACAGAGGACATGGAAAAAAAGACTTTCCAAAGTAGGAGCAGTTTGCTTAGGACTTTGAACAAGAACTAATATTTTGTCACTGGGGGGAAAGGATCCCAGTCAGGGGATGGGAAGAGTGTATTTGAAGAATAGAAAGTTGTCCATGGTAGCCACAGTGTAAAGTACTTACAGGGTCTGTGTACAGAGCAGAGGGTAGGAGTGGGGTAAAAAGGCAGAGATGCAGCTTGCAAAAAAGATTGGGACCAGTATCTGGCATTGAATGAGAGACCCACACACATGGCAAAAGCTGTATGTTTCCAATATTCTCAGCACTATTAGGCCACATAGAGAGAGGAAGTCATCAGATTAATTTGGTTGAACATTTTAGCCACATCCAGGACTGAAGCCAAAGTGACATGACCGATATCAGCCTGGTGTGACTTCAGGAGCTGCTGTTGACTATTTGAAACTCTGATGACATTCATATGCATGACACAGGAAAGACCCTGCAAAAAAGCCCCTCCACACTGGAACGCAAGAGAATAAAAGGGGATTTTTATATAGCTAATCTTGAATCCAGTATGGTTGACTTTTAAATGAACTCATTCACAAACTGGGCAATTTAATACATTTTAGGAGCAAATTGCTGCCGACACACCTCTTACTAATGGCTAAGAACATTCATTCAACAGTTGATCACCTAGTATGTGCCCCGTAGACCTAGACAGACAGGCCCTCTGCCCTCGCAGAGCTTCGTGGAGAGGAGGAAAGATGGATGCTCAACAACCCCCCGATAAATATATAATTAAAATTTTGTATGAGCACCATGAATGAAAAAGTCAAGAGTTCAATGAGATTAAAAATAGAAAATGATTTAGATTGCATGGGGAGGTAAAAGAAAAATGGAACAGTTTTCTAAAGCCGTGGCAAGTGCCTTGACTCCTGGAAGATGAAAAGAGTGGGACAAAGATTGTTCCAGGCAGAGGGGAAGCTCAAAAACAGGACAATAGTGTGATGTGTTTGGTTCAAAGAAATGAAAAGCTCATCTGTCTGAATCACGGTGCCAGTGAAGAGGTACAGGGTGGCCTGGGGAGGTGGTCAGAGACTGGACCACAGGGGGCCTTTGTCCTAAAAGCAGTGAGAAGACACTGCAGCATTTCCAGCAGAGGAGTGACCAGGCCTGCATTTGGAAAGGTTTACTCTGCCAGAAGAGTGGGGAATGAACAAAGGAGGGGACAAGAATGGAAGCAAGGAGACCAGCTGGGATGTTATTGCACAGCCAGGCCTAGAGATAATGGTGACCAGGACTTGAGAAGTGGCGATAGTGATGCACAGACAGACCAGTGCAAGCTGCGGTTAGAAGCAGGACTGCTTTGGCTGTTGATGAGCTGGACCCGGGAATTTCACGAGGGCAAGTGGTGTCGGGCAGAACCTCCAGTTCAGGCTAGAGCTCTACTTAGATGGTGATGTCCGTCAGGTGCTTCCTGAGGTGGAGAAACAGATTATGTGAGAAAGACCGAACTGTGGACATGTTAAGCTTGAGGAACTTCTGAAACACCCAAGTAGAAAGGCCAGGTGAGCAGTTAGATGAAAGGACCTGGAGTTAGCGAAGAGATCTGGGCTGGAAACACAAATGTGGAAGCCATGAGCTCATAAAGAGGCTTTAAATCTGTGGATTGAGTGATACACCAGAAAAAAGTATAGGGTAGAAGAAAAAGACCCATAACTGAGTCCTGAAAAACTTCAACACATAGAGATATAGAGTCCAGGGAAAGAAGAGAATTCAGCAACGTACATAACAGGCAATTGCAGGAAAGAAAAAAAAATGGCACAATGTGTGTCATCAAAAATTCAAAGGCAAGGAGTGGTTCTTTACAGAGGAAGTGGCCGAGTGCTAAACACTGCTGAGCTCAGGAACAGTTAGATGAAGATGGAAGAGTTCTTGGGGATCACAACAATGTGGGAACTCCCAACAATATGGGAACTTTGGTGACTGACATTTGCAGTTTCAGTGGAGAGGTGAAAATGAAAGCCAGATTGGAGAGGATTGAGGAATAAATGGGGGCAAGAAAGTGAAAATGTGTGTGTAAATAATTTTCCATAAGTTTGATAAGGAAGATTTGAGAGAGAGGGCCAGAGACGATGTGGTACCATGAAAGGGATTTTAAGGGGCATGTGATTGTGTGTGTGCGTGTGTGTGTGTGTGCATGCGTGCGTGCGTGTGTGTGTGTGTGTGTGTGTGTGTGTGTGTGGTGTGTTTTAAGTTAGATGTATTGGTACACGTTAGTTGAGGAATCCAGTAGTAGCCCAGTTAAATAGTCCCTTTTCGTGACTAGGAAGTCTTAGCCTGATCAAAATGTCTTCTCAGGTGTGAGCAGATCAGCAGAGAGAACAAAGACCTGCAGATCTTAGATTCTTCATTTAATATCTCAGAAGGCAGTTCTGAAACCCAAAGTGGGCATGCCTACATTCATTAAAAACTACTTCTCTGGAACCTACGTGACCCCCAATTTTCAATTATATAAATCCATTGTCTACCTTGATTTTCACTCTAAGAAAGAGAAACAGAGCTTTCAATACAGTTTTTTTTCAGTCTCCCATGACAAATATTATTAGTATTTGTGATCAGAGTTTTCTGATACACATACATTAATAGGACCACCACAGGTAAGGAAGCTACTCCTAAGGAAGAGCTGAAATCCCTCCTCCCTACCTCCTCACTAACCACTTAGACACAACTTTAGATTTCCTAGGAGTTTTGCCAAAGGCCTCCCTCAGGGGTCACCTTGTACAGCTGTGACAAAAATCCCTAGCCCTGTTTCTAACTCAGCCCCAGTTCTGCACTCTTTCACCTCTACAATGTTTAGACCTTATTGCTAGGTATCACTCCTTTACAGCAGTGAATCTCATAGCAGAAAGTAGACCCACATATGGGTCATTCCATCCGAAAACCTCAGTCTTCCTATGTTACTGGGATCTCAAGCAGTAATCTAAAATTCGCCTGCCCTTGATTTGCAATCCTTTGATTTGGAGGACATGAAATCTTCATTACTTATTTTTCATATTGTTGTCAACCTGAAACGTTTTACCATCAAACAAATAAGCAAACGTAATGCAACAAGTTCAGCGTAGTCTGGGGAGTATAAAACCTGACCTGGATTTAGGAACAAAGTTCTATTTCTGGCCTTACCCTTGACTCACACTATACATGACCTTGGAGGAGTTACTGTGCCTCAGATTTTTCATCTGTAAAATACCCTCTTCCTACCTTGGAGGATTAACTTGATAATGTCTGTAAAATACTTTGAGGTCTTAGAGGAAGGACACTATGGCATTATCACATGTCATTCTTAATAGAATCATGTGGATGAATATGAATAGGAAGTGTGAAAAGTAGTCTAAGGAATGAGCTTGGAATAAAATTGGCTTGAAATAAGCCACATATATTTGTGTCTGTACTGACAATGTGAATGGCCATGAAATACCGTGTTAACTAACCCTACTTATTTCTGGTTGTGTGCTTCAGTCTCACTTTGAATGTTAACTCTAAACCGCTAACCTGTTTCTTTCCTTTATTCACTTTTTCCACCCACCATTGCATGACATCAGGGTCAGTTTTGTGCATGACACCCGCTACCAGTATTGGTAGGTTTCAACCTTTTTTGTCTTTTATACGATGTACAATACCTTCACTTGTTTGAAATTTATTTCAGAGATGGTAGAAATGCTTTAGGAAATAGTAGATCTGAAGGCTTATTTGGCTTTAGAGTTAACATATAGGTTTTTAAAAATGTACTTGTATGTTTAAGAAAATGATTATTTTCATGTGACCTCTTGTGCTAGAACAATCACTACAGAAACATAAAACCACAAGTACGAATCTGCTTTTTAATAATTTGTGTTTTGTTTCTCTTTATAGTTTATATGGTGTAGCATTAAAAAAAGCTTACTTTACTAGAGAGGCAGGCTAATTTCATCAATGTTTTAAAGTTTCATAGTGGTGTGCCTTTATCTCCTCTTTGCTGTGTGTTAGAGTTATCAGAGTTTCCCAGAAATATTTATTTTTAAAAAACTATAAATGGATGTATTTTGAAATCAAATGTCTGAGCCGCCTTGCTTGGCAATCTTTTTTAATTTTAAGCATTGATTTATTTGTGATGATTTTTTTGTACTTCAGCATTCCCTTAGATGTTAAATTTTAGTAGTACATAGTTATCCTCACACATTTTAATGCCTTGGTACAAAAGTCTGTCTTTAGGACATATGGATTAGTTCCACTTAGAGTCAAGAAAAATAAACACTGGCAAAATCTGTCTGGCTATTTCACAGTAACTGTGTTAGAATTTACATCAAGGCCATGATTTTTGCTCCACTGCTTATTAATCCAAATAAAACACAATCTACAGCAATTCCAGTTCATATAAGCAATCCCAAATTGGAAAAAAAAAAATCAATTTAACCACGATTAATTCCAAAGAACATCCTATCCCAAATTAGACCTACACATTGAGCCTTTGATGTTTTAGAATTCATGATTAAAAATGGATATCATATATTCTTACTTCCTTGGACATTACCTTTCACATTTTTAGAAACAACCATTATTACATACACTATAGATCCATTGTTAGAAATAAAAATGTTTATAAATACATCAACCAAAGTAATCTGCTTTGGCCTTTCTGGGAATCACTGATTATGTTTTAAAACTTCCTTTAATTGTACTTGTAATAAGCTATTTTCCCTTTTTTATTTCTCTCCCATGCTTCCTTGCTTTGCATTGTGATTGCATGCCATCTGCTGGTTTAACCCATGATGGCTTGCTGCTCTGATATTCACCATGCCAAAATACCACTTCTATTACCATAATGCTACACCCTCCTGTTCATTGCTCCCATGGTTCCCCTCCTGAAAGTACCCATGATGCACAGCGCTACGTCCGCCACTGTCTCTGCAGCAACAACTCCTGCAACAAGTGTCCCCTTCGCAGCAACAGCCACAGCCAATCAGGTTTGCTCCTTTTAAAGCTTTCTTTCACAAATCCCAAACTCTAAATGAGTGCTGATATTAAAAAAAAAAATTCTCAGTGAGAATTTTTTTTTCATGTTTATCCATCAAATTTTATTTTTTTAATTAGTTTATAGCAAGCATTTATGGACAGGTTGCACTTATTTAGAGTTAACATTTACTGCAAATAATGATGTAGCTATGTTTTGTGTTGCACTGTTTGTTTTCGTACCTAATATTGTGTAATTAACCTGACAGGCTTAAATTCCTTTTAGTACAGCATTACCTATCCAGTGGTTTGTGAATTACCACATAAAACCTGTAGAAGCGCACCCATGGGTGCTTCAAAACTGGCTCTATTTGAATTTGGTTCATTCAGACCCTATCACCTGTTGTGAAGAAAAAAGATTCTCCTCTTGGAAAGTCTCCGCTTTTTCCCAAGTGTCAAATTTGAGGTCTGAATAATTCTTATTGACATTTGACCTTGGTCATAGGAGCTGGTTCTCACTTTACAATCTGTTGATACTGAAGTAAGAGCCAAACCATACGGGAAGAAGAGTAATGGGCCACTGGGTTCACAAAGGCTGGATATAACTGATTAGGAATGTTTAACTCTGTTGGTTTAATGCATGTGCAAATAAGGCCATGGATGTTATTTCTTAGTGACAGCCAGTGGGCTATTCCCTACTCTGTGGTCACAGCTGACCTTATCCCTGACCCTAGCCACCTGCCCTACAAACATGTGCTCCTGGTCACAAGGAGGCGAGTGAGAGGATGAGTGAGCACAAACTCTCACCTTGCCTAGAAAAGCACCTTTTCACGCATGCCCTCCCTCCATAGAACAAGTTTAGTTTTGTGTTTTTGTTTTTAATAAAATCACCTGCACTAATAAAAGATAAGAAGAGTTATAGGAGTAGGCTTGAGGGAAGGGCCTAGCTCATAGGAGAAATTGGGGGAAATGGTGTCAGGACATACATGGCAGATTCCAAACTGCATTGTGCAGGCAGGAAGGGCTGATTCACGCTTCTTTCCACATTCAAGTGCATACATGGCTCCAGTGCTGTAGGTTTCATCACTAAAAAGAGAGGTGCATGTGCACCGGAATGCAGGAATAAAAGTTAAATCGCATTACAATTCCTGCTGTGCCCTCCGCGTTATGATAGAGCGGTAGAGAGTGAGGCCAAGGCCAGATGGGCAACAGAAAGGCAGATAGAAAATGTGACCGTTCTTCAGCTCATCACTCCCCTCCTCTAAAATGCCAGCCTCTCCTCCGAAGAAAGCCAACTCAGCTTGCAAACAAACAACAGCAGATGTTACGTTCCTTAGCTGGGGAGACTGAAAAACAAACGATGGGATGGGAGGAGGGAGAGAAACTTGGTATCTTTCCCTTACTGGGTTTGAAGCGCATCTTCTCACTGGCTCATTCTTAAAAGGGAACCTGAATACCTGGTCCTTTTAAGTCTAAGTCCTGCCTGTTGAACCACGTTTATGTGATTTTTGGCCCAATTTTTGTTACAAAGTCCCTTCACAAAAAAGCAAGTTTGAAGTATAATATAGTAGTACTTGTTACGGAGAAATTTTACCCATACCGTATGGTAAGTTGAGCATTTCTGACACTTAGAGATCTTTTCTAAGAACGGAAAGAAAGCCGAGATAAAGAAATCGTTTGGAGTTTCAGGATAAATTCCTTTATATTTGATAAATATTTGACCATGTGTCATGTATATTTTTCCAGCCTGGTGATTCTTGTTTGGTAGAAAAAAAGTTGAGAGACTGCACACGTATGTGTAGGTTTGTGTATGCTGCTAAGGAGGCAGGGGCAGGAAGCGTGGTATATTCAGAAGCTAAAATATATCTCTTTAAAGGAGGGTGTGATTGGTAAAGGAACTAACAAGCTTAACTTCAGTCTAATCCAAAGAAATGTAATTAAGTAGCTTCCAGAATCCTAGATTCTGTGTTTTACAGTTTATCATATACACCAGTTGCTGCTGGATTGTACATAAATGATAAGGAAGAGAAATCCTACTGTAGTAGCTCTTGATGAAGCTCTGCTTGCACATGAAAACCAGAAAAAAATAAATAATAGTAAATATAAATTTTCAAATATGATATTCTTTATGTATTTTCAATAAGTTTCAAAGAGTAAAGCTCTACAAAAGAACTTGGAAATTCTTTTAGCACCCAGAAATAGGAAATGCAGAGATTGTTAATGACTGAAATGACAATTATCATCTTGTTTTCACCCTTTAAACTCAAATCAAATCATATCCATGTGAATTATGTAAGTCACTGAAACATAATCAATCTCCAGTTTCCTAATTTCTGAAAGGAAGACTAGAACTAGGTGATCCTGAAGTCCCTTCCAGAGCTCTGATTTTCAGTGAACCCGCGGTTCCATGACTATTATGCCGGTGCCAAAGCATGAGATTGTAAAGCTAAACACAATGGAGTGGAAAAAGGAGCGAACAATTCCAGAGTTCAGAGAACGATAAGCATCCTGTCTTCTTCTCCGTCATTGAGTGATCTGTTATTAATACAAAATGCAGTAGGGTTTTGACAGGTTTTTGGTTAATTTAATCAATTCAGGCTGTCAGCTCAAATATTTCAAATCTCATAGGTATTTGTAATTAGACTCAAGTCATTCGTAGAATAAGAAGGATAGACTAAAACATCCCATGAGTTTCTCCAGTCCAGTGATCTTTACGTGCTACCCCATGGTGAGCCCAGCTGAGCAAGCAGCAAATCTATAAATTCTGTACTTAGGATGAATCAAGTGAAAATTCTAACTGAAAATTCTAACCACCAGTGAAAATTCTAACTGAACTCAGACTGGTAGTTTGAAATTAAATAAAGACAAAATCCAAACACATTTGAGAAATATAAAAATTTTTTTGGTTATCTCTGGAGTAAATATGTAATCAAAAATACAATAAACACATTTTCTAAGAACTATTTCCCATTTCAGTTAAGGTCTTTGGGCTTTAATATACAAGTTATATCTAAAAATGATAATATTATTATTATTACAAACCAATTATTATGTAACAAGTATGATTCTAAATGGTCTCTCTCCCATATAATACATGACATATTATATATGAGACCATTTAGAATCATACTTGTTACATAATAACTGGTTTGTAATATAATATATGACATATTACATTATATATTATATCATACGTTATATTCTATTATATATTATGTGAGAGAGGATAGTTATAAATATCAATACTCATTTAACCTTATAATTTTATGAGATATGTACAATGATTATCATTCCCATTTAGCAGATGGAAAAAATGAAACAATAGTTAACTACCTCAGCCAAAGTCACACAGCTAAAAAAAGATCATTTTTTTTTTTTTTTTTTTTGTCTTTTGTCTTTTTCCGTGTCCGGCAACGGATCGCAACCCTCAGTGTTGCCCCCGTACCGGACCGGGGACCAGCAACGGGATTGCAACCCTCGGTGTTGCTCCCGCGCCTCGCTCAGCCAGTGAGCGGGAACCGGTCTGTATGTGGGATCCGAACCCTCGGGCGGGAGCACCGCCACACTTCCCAAGCGGCGCACTTATCCAGTGCGCCACCGGGCCGGCCCAAAAAATGATCTTGCTGAAGTTTAAACACAGGCAGTCTGACTCCATAAGACTTGCTCTTAATCACCATGGTACACTGCCTCTCTCCATAGTTATAACTACACAAAAATCACTTCTGAACTATCTTTCGAGTGAAACCCGATAGCAACAAACTCTATTGCTATAGGGGAAAATGAAGGCAGCTTGCTGATGCAGCTCAAACTAAGGTGAATCCTAAACTGGGGAGATGAACTGAATTTGAGCATAGCTTCAAACTAGTTATATAAAATAGCCAGATTTTGTTTTGAAACCATATAGCTGACCTCATTGATTCTATGTGATATTATAACCAGTGAAAATTATCAATAATTCCTATACAACTAAGATAACCTAAGAAAAAATTAGTCATTAATTTTAGTGAAGCAGGTTCATGGGCATCTTTAGTAATAGACTTTACTCATATCTCTACTAATCATCTCACAAATAACTTGGTAACAAGGAAAATCAGAAAAGAAAATGATGGTAACATGTAAATTAGTCAATTTCAGCCCAGTAACTAAGGACCAGAATGTGTAAATCCGTAGGTGCCTATATTGAAACAAATTTAATCTTAGAATGTACATTAAAATAGGTAGATGTAGGGGCCGGCCCAGTGGCGCACTGCTACAGTGCGCCGCTTGGGAGTGCGGCGGCGCTCCCGCCGAGGGTTCGGATCCCACATACAGACCGGCCACTCACTGGTTGAGCGAGGTGCAGGGCAACACCGAGGGTTGCGATCCCGTTGCCGGTCCCAGTCCGGTACGGGCGCGACACTGAGGGTTGCAATCTGTTGCCGGTCACGAAAAAAGACAAAAAAAGAAAAAAAAAAATAGGTAGATGTAAACAGCTTAGTATATGGATTACTTAGTTTTTTTCATATTATAAAAAATTTTATCTAATTAAAAGAGAGTACAGATTTATGGGCCGAGCCAGTGGCGCACTCGGGAGAGTGCGGCGCTGGGAGTGCAGCAGCGCTCCCGCCGCGGGTTCGGATCCTATATGGGGATGACCGGTGCGCTCACAGCGCTCACTGGCTGAGCGTGGTGAGGCCGGTCTCAAAAAGGACAAAAAAAAAAAAAAAATTAAACTAAAACACCATTTTTGGGCCGGCCCAGTGGCGCACTGTATAAGTGCGCCACTTGGGAAGCGCGGCGGCGCTCCCGCTCGAGGGTTCGGATCCCACATACAGACCGGTTCCCGCTCACTGGCTGAGCGAGGCGCGGGGGCAACACCGAGGGTTGCAATCCCGTTGCTGGTCCCCGGTCCGGTACGGGGGCAACACTGAGGGTTGCGATCCGTTGCCGGACACGGAAAAAGACAAAAAGACAAAAAAAAAAAAAAATTAAACTAAACCCCCATTTTTGGGCCGGCCCAGTGGCGCACTGTATA